GGAATTTTGTTTGATTCTGATTTTTGTTGATGTTTTTTTCCTCTTTAGTTGGGTATACACTTTGTCATCAGCAGCTTGCCATGCCTGGCGTGACAGACATATGGAAGATTGCATTACAAGATGGTTACTGTGTTACTTTGTTCCGCGATGAAGTCATTATGTATCACAAGGAGTTTCAAAATTTACTTGATGGGATGAGGGGGTGAGACAAAAAGATCTGCAACCATTTTTTTTTTTGCCTCAAAGCCCTCAAGTGGCAAGATCTTATAGCCTGCTGAATTCTCCTTCCAAATTATCTTGTATTCCCCTCCCAAATTATCTTGTATTCCCCTCCAAAGGAGAAGTTGATGCTGCAAAAAAACTCACTCAAAGCTTTATTTTACACAGACTTGACTATATTTATATCTTTAAAATAATTTGACAGACTATCACATCTTGTGGATGTAATGATTTTTCTTTTTATGTGTTTTCAACTTTTTTCTTCGTTCAAAATTTTTTGAGCTTCTGAATTTAATTAGGAGGCTCTTTAATATGTTGCTGATTCATTTCTATAATCTGAGACAAAAGAAAGAAAACAAACTGAATGGGTTTAATCCCATGAGAATCCATGTTTTTTACTGTTAATTTTTTTTTTCCAGTTATGGTAAGCGAGTGAAAGATATTCAAGATGCAGTGACACATTCATTAGCAACACGGTAATGTAGTGTAGTTTTACAACCATACTATAGTTTTTACATAGTTTTTACAACCATACTATAACCCACTAGCAACATCATACTATAACCCACTATAACCCATTAGCAACACGGTAATGTAGTGTAGTTTTACAACCATACTATAGTTTTTACATAGTTTTTACAACCATACTATAACCCACATTAAAATATTCAGTGCAAAGTCACTCAGGGTATCAGCAGTTAATACAGTTGTCAGATATATTTCCTGAAATGTTGCTTTCATTTGAGCAGGGAATAATTGAAGATAGCATTCCAAGGCTTGTAACTCTATTGCAGTTTTTAACCTATTCCAAAGTAGTTTTGTTTTTTCTGTTAACAGAGGACTAATTCACAAGGAACGTCGTAACTACCTTAGAACAGCATTGAGAGAAATGTCTCTAATTCTTACTGATCAACCAGGCCTTTTGGGACCAAAGGTAGATTTTACACTGAAGATGATGTTTTGCAACAGTTTGTTTTATTATTATTTATAGATAGAATTTGGTGCCATGAAGAAAAAAAATCTTAGTCCCAAGCTTTGCTTCAAAAAGGTGAACAGTCTGCCTGTAGGCTCTTTGTCATAAGAAATCTTGGGCATCCATTTCTAAACACCTCTGGAAAGGCAGTTGTTACGACTTGCTCAGAAACAAAAGTTAATCACCTTGGGTACTCAGTCTCTTTTAGAATACAGACCTAGCTCATTTTGACCTCAAAAATGCTTTTTTTTTTCTGTTTACAGATCATTGTTGTGCTTCAAGCATTAAACATGACAAGAGATGAGATCATGTGGCTTGTGAGGCACACTTGTAATCCGCCACCAAAAGGGAAAAAGTTAAACCAAGAAGACTATGTCGACAAGTGAGGAAAAATAAACTCTTATTAACTTTAAGTATAAGGAAAATAACTCTGTGACATGCATAGGCAGTTGATGCAAAACACTACCTCTGGTGAGGGGGGAGGGGTAACTTGTGCTCTGTTAAGGTTGGGTGAGCTGTACTTGTTCATGTGTAACATTCATTGCTGATTTACAGATTGTAGAAGTTGTACAGGTGGGAAAAAAATCATACTCTATGAAATACTGTAGACGTTTAGGACAAATGATGTCATGGAAGTCTGCCTAGACAGTGCTTGTTAGAGTTTTATAAAGTGTGTTAACTCTGGCGAAAAAAAAAAAAAACTGAGTAGGTAATACTCATTAGCTATGCAAGGCAGTATTATAAAACACCTGATTCTGAGTGCTTGTGCAGTGTATGAAGGACTGTAAAATGTCTGGGTGGTTGTAACCCACCCAGTTAGTCTGTTAGACTGAGCTACTTCATGAACTTGTGCTAGTATTGGTACTCCAAAAGAGTGAGCTTCTTTTTAAATTTACTCTGCAATTTTTTTTATTTTTAGTTTATCTGATAATACTCAAAACTAGTTGTGCTCTGAAACGTAAACATCATACTCGATCATTTACAGTACTGTTATGTTTTTTTTATGGCTTGACTTAATCCTTGTGTTTTCTTTGTGTCAGTAAATTACCTCAGTTGCTGCTTTATGTGGAGGAGGTGAGAGGTAAGGAATCAGAACACTTTGTCCTTTTCCATTTCAATCTTTAGAAAGGTTTTTTAAAACCTTATAAAAGACTTAATAGATAAGTTCAACAAATTAAATAATATGAATGGCTAAGAGTTTAACAAGATCAATAGATTGGGTTTTTTTTTTGTTTCCTTATTTTAAGGCATGATCCAGAAATATGTATCAGTATTGCAGCGGTATTTTGTACAGTACTTGGGTGGTTTTGATGTTGCTGTACTCAAAGAAGTTGTACAGGTTTGTATTTAATGTTAGTAATTTTTACCTAATTTATTAAAAAAAAGGTGGTTCAACCAGTACTAAAAACACAATCTGACTGCTTTACTAAAACCAGCTTTTACTCCTTTACATCAGTATGCATTTTATCCATACTGCTGGCTTTACATTTCCTTAAGAGCTGACAAGGAGAATTTGTTTAACCATTAAGAGCTTCTTTAGTTGGTGATCATTTTCTTTATTCTCATGACCTTGATGTGCAATTCAGGGGTGATATTGTAAGGAGAAATTAGATGCTAATCACTCTTGGGAGTGATTAGCATCTAATCACTCTCAAGAGTGATTTTCTCTCTTCCTCACAGGAATGCTCCTATCTCTTGACAGCTTTTCAAAAAATAAAATGATGTCAGGGGCTCAACACTAACTTTTCAACTTAATAGCCAAGTGGCTATAGTGACAACTTAGATGTTACAACAATTTCAGTTTGTTTACTGACCAAATTGGCTGGTGCAAATAAAAAAACCACTAGCCAAAACTGATTTCTACTAGTCTGTTGCTAGTTGGCTACTGTTATTGTCAAACCAGGTGATGAGTTGGGATGACGTCAGTAAATATGATGTAATCATTGCCATGAAAATAGTCAGTTACATGCAAGGACTCTGTTGTTAGAATTTTGCTTTGATATCTTATACAACATTCTTATAATTTGCTGTTGTTGTACCTGTAAATTGTACGCACAATTTTGTGCATAAAAGCTGTGACACTGTATATGTTTTGCCTTTCTGATCGATAGAAAATTTCAGTATGCTCTGACGATATCTCCATTATTATGACCTCATTTATTGAAGATCTGTCACTGCTGAATGTCAAACAAGGTACAAATCTCTCATCTGCAGAGTATGTTGCAGACTGTGTTACTCTTTCACTACGAAAAATGATCAACATTTAAATTCTCATATTAAAAAACCCACATATCCATACATAGCAGAACCTTGTTATTTTGCCATAACACCAATTTCTTGCAACTGATTTACTTGGAAATGCTCAGCATCTTGAAGGAGAATTACTGTACCAATCAGAGTTTTGGAATTAACGGGATACATTGCTTTTGGTTCATAATAACAGGGAATTTGGATTTAGTTTATCATTAATTTTTGAATGAGGTTGTGTAATGGTGTTCACTGATGTAAGTTTACCCTCTGAATTTTTTTCCTTAGTGGAAGCAGGAGACACATTTGATTTTGAGAGTCTTCGATTGGACTGGATGCGTCTTCAGGTATGTTACCACATGAAAGTACACTTCACTAGCAACGTCAAAAGGTCAAATGCCAGCACTAGTAAAAATAACACTGTAAAGTAAAGCATATTACAGTCACTGTGGAAACTGTACCAACAGCTGCCTCTCTGTATTAGCACTGCCACTAAAGTGTATCCCAAGTGCCAGAGTAACCTTAAATGCTTGAAATGCTTAACTGCTTGAACCTCAATTGCTTACTGACGGACAATAGGTTTTGAAAAGTGCATGGAACTTAAGCTAAATTTTGTTAGACCAAAAATAATGATGTTCACAACAGTGAAAGCAAACATTCCACAAACTGATAGACTCACTGTACTTTAATTATTTTGTTTTGTCATCATTATTTTTTCATCTGAACATCAACTTTTTTCATTGAGACATGTTAATTGGTATCAAAAAGGATCAGTAAGCATTTTTGAAACTAAAAAAATATTGTGCTATTGCCTGGGGAAAAGCAAGTGTCAGGTTACAGCACCATCTCCCTTTAACAGCCACCTCCCTCTAGCAGCCAACTTTCATTTGTCCTCAAAATTTGCCATGGCAGCCATTCTAGAAAGGATTCATTGTAAATGATACCTGCAAATGATGTTGCTGCTTAACTGATGTGGCATGTGAGACAAGTATTCCTGTGAAGCCACCTTCTAGCCTCATGATACACACTCTACTTCTTTTCAATGGTACAAAAATTGTGCTATACCAGTAGCCACATACAGTCTTTTACTGTCTACTTTTTTTGTTTGTTTTCATTGTTGCAGGCTTATACCAGTGTTCGTGGGGCGGCACCAGAGTTAAAAGATAACCGAGACTTAGCTGTGCTCATGAACAATGTGGCTTTTCACTCTAAACTGGTTGATACACCAGACAAGCTTTTGAATGAGATCTCTGATATGTCCATTTTCTGGTAAGGTGTTTCGTGTTGTCATCGATAGTTTTCTACACTTTTAATCAATGGTAATCCCAAGTATTGAATTATTTATTCACAAAATACGTAAACTTCCCGGGTTGATCTTGGAAACATCTATGCTGGCCTGAAATCTGTTTGAAAGCTTTTACTTTCCATTATCCTCAACCTTCTTGCAGATGAGATGTCTTTTTGTGTAAAGTATTTTCATTGGTTAAGTAATGATATATTAATTAATCTATTTTGGTGATTTCATTTTTCTCCTCCAGTTTTTATCCCAGCTTTTTTGAGGATTCATTTGTGAAGTGTGTGGAGGATTCTAACTGTTCACGGTAACAGCAGGACTAAATACTTATTGTTATTTTGTGTGTTTCTTGAGAGTTACATCGCTGTTCTTGTTGCTGCTAGTGTGAGAGATGCAATTGCAATCATTAGAATTTTGTACTTACAAATTCGTCCTACACTTACGTTCTCATGGCTCTATGTACTGCTTGTAAAATGTAAAACTACTTGCAAACTAAGTATGTCACATGTAAAAATTTCACTCTATGCCTCTCTCCATCTCCAATTCTAAAAACACAGAACATGCAAGCTCCTCCGACGCGTTTTTGTTAGTTCATTTAGTAGAGCATTCAAGTGTAGAAGAGGGGCTGACCCAGGTTTGAGTCCTCCTTGGGTATTTCGACTTCTCGGTCCCCTGTTTTTTGATTTGACTATCGAGCCAAAAATTGCCATCTTTCTTACTCTACAAACAACATGCATTTATACTTGTGCGACCTGCTCAAATGTTTTCGAACCACCCAGCAAGAGGCACTCGCGTTAACATCAGGCTAAGATGCGATTGTTAAATCAAAGAACAGTGTTCCTAAGTCAATTTTATTATTAATTTTAGTAACTGTTTTTTTTCTTCTCGTCAGATTTTCTGTGGCATTTCCATTGATCTGTGGCCACTTCATGTCTTGTACCAGTGATTTTTGCCCGGAAGAGGTACAGTGCGGTGTACCCAGCTTTCATTGTATTTTTTTATCCTTATAACTTATCAAGCCTCTGCAGTCTTCCCCATAACTTTGAAAAAAGTTGACCTTGAAGCCCTGATCTTTTTGTTTGTATCAAATAAATTAACTGAAAGGTTACATGCACCTACCTCAGCGTCATTCCTCTCTTAAAACTAAGATGCTTTTATCGTTCAGTATTAACGCTCTTCACCACGTGTTAATTCAACGAAACGTGGCTTTTGAATTCTCATTTTTTTTTTTTTTTTAACGTGCGTTCTAACACTAGTTTCAGACAACACAAGGAAACAAAACTGACAAAACCTCCATAATCTTAGTATTACGAAGAAACCGTGTGGTCAAAGAGAAGAAGTTCCCAGGGGTTATAAATGAGAAACGTGTATATTCCACAATTACTAGTCTTAGTCTAGAAAATTTAACATGATGTTTAATCTTACAATATTATTTCATTATCTTGATAAATGACAGCGCCATCCTATTGGAGATCGCAGTTTGGCGGCGGTGAATCTGTTTCTGGAATCCATGGCAAAAGAAGCGAGGAATATCTTGAGCCAGTTGTGCCCTGATCATATTCAACTCAATCAGCAGGTTAGTTATAAAGAGCAGTTAAAAGAAAAAAAAAATCGGCTTCTACAAGTCGCAGGGGTTTCAATAAAAACCAGTTCCCAGAGGTCCGGCGTCATCTTTAAGACGTATTGCTACTCTCTGTTTAGCCTGCGTGCAGGCTCTCGCGTTTGGGTTTTGCCTTACGGTGACAGAGCTGAATAACGAAATGTTACGTCAAAGGTAACGCGGGCTCGAGCGTCCGAGGTTTAATATGAAGCGAAATTTGCGTATATAATAAAGAGCTGGCAATTAAAACGAAGGCATTTTGTTGTCGTCGACGGCATTTTCCTATTTCCAAAGTTTTTAAGGAGAAAATTGATTTTCAAAAATCTTTACGGGGTGTACAAAGTTTTTGGAAGTTGTTCTGTAAAAGAAAAACGGCAAGGAAAACAACGCCACGGAGCAACAGAATCTACCATGCGAACAGCTCAAAATCCGTTTTTCCGCCCCAAAACCTAGCGCGTGCGCACAAATTATTCAACTCTGTCCCGGTCCTTTTTTGGGGGCAGCTGCGTATGGAAAACGTCATTCAGACCCCTGGAGACGTTCTCAAATTGAAAGTAAATGCTTCAGTAAGTTTCTTACAAGCATTTTAATGCCCTAGTGTATTTGATTGTATTGTTGGGAGGTTAGCAACTCGCTTGACTTTTAACGAGAAGTATCAAGACTCTTTTTATTGTTTCCTACTACAACGCTTCAGATCTTTTCTTCTCCTACAACTACTTTTTAGCGAGGAGTGCCCACGTATTAAATACAAAAATCGCAGACATGTTTGGGTTAGCTGACCGTGGGAGTTTCCATAGTGTATCCTTTGTTTTGCAAAGGGGGAAATTGAGTGACTCGCTCCGACTTGGCGAGCACCAAGGAACCAATTAAACGCCAATGATCGAGCTGCGCACGAGAATCGCACGCACAAACAGGATCTTCAGTGTGGGCAAAACCCAAGGTCAGCTTTACCAACCCAAACATGACCACCTAGGAAACTAATTATTCTCATCCACAACAAACGATTAAAATGTCTGGCACGGTAAGAAGGAAATCCGCGAACTGAGCCTAGTTCAAGCACATACTAAAAATAACGATCAAAACTATAAATCTACCAAAACAAACACGGAGGCGCAAAAGGCAAGGCGCAACAAAATAACAACTTCCAATTTTACCTTACAACAGTATTTTAAAATATCGTTGCTGTTGTTGTTGTGGCGGTTGTAGTTATGGCAGTTGCAAGCCGTTCGTTTGATGACAGAATTATCTGCCGCACCGAAAAAGGACAAAAACAAGAAGAACGTGCAGAGCGAGTTTGCTCCGCCCGGCAGCGAGAGCTTCCGAAAGAGCAGAGAAAACCTTTCAACGTGAGTGTTGCCTAGTCAGTCTGTGGAAGACATTTAAGCTTTGTTAAGCATTTAAAAGACTTGTTGATAGCTCTGTTTCTCGTCAGCTTTGTGGATACTTAAGTTAAGCAAAGATCCCCGTAGGTGAGTTGCAATTTAAGCAATTGCAGAAAAGGAGCCTGTAAAAAATTCAGGCTACGACGGGTTACGGTGTCACACGTTGGGAGCGGGGCACATTTTAGAGGCTTCCCTTTTCCTGTGGCGGAATCTGATGATAACTTTAAATGAAATTTTTCGTGACATTTTTTTTAAGCTGGATGAAAGTTATAAAATTCAACCAATCCTCGCTACGGATCCATATCTGTCATCTTTGTTTCGTGTCTAAAACAGTAATTTTATCTATGTTGCAGTTTGGATCGGAAACTGATTTCCTTGACAGAGATCTGCCAAGCAATCACTTACACAGAGGCTATTCCAGTGTGGGAACACATCTTTGCTCCTCGCGAATATCTCAACTCGCAGTTGGAAGAGTTCTTTACAAAGTGAGTTTTTATCCTGAGAGAATGGTGATTGTTCAAGGTTGGACACATGTCTGTGTTCCCTATTTGGAAGTGACAAGCATTTAATTTCTCCTCATAATGTTAACACTAAATCAAACATTGTTGCCAGGAGAATAAAGGAAATAATCACCAGCTAAAGAAGTTCTCGATTGTGAAGCAAATTCTCCTTGTCGTCACCCAAGGGAATATAGAGAACAGTATGGAGAATTGCATGCCAATGATTTATTTAAATGATTAAATTCTTCAATTCTGTCCTCGTGCAATTTCTGGTCCTCTTTCTTTCTGTTATTCCTTTAAGTTCAAAAACTGCTGTCCAAAGTCTTGATGTTGTTGTGGCTTTGTGTGAGTCACGTATTTTACTTTCCTGCTGAAAATCCATAACAATCTTGGTAGGTCTGTGGTGACTATGGCACAGTTCGATTCGGATAACTCGAGGATTGCACGTCCCTCAGAAGTCCTAAGTAACATTAAGGTAATGGTTTCATTTTAAATCTTTCGTCAGAATTGTTTCCTTGGTTCTCTGTTATTCGTGTGGGGTGTGGTATGCACATATATGAGCATACAGTTGGAACCAGTCCCTAAATGGCGCCCACGTGGGTTAATCAGAAAAGTTTTTTTGCGCATGCGAAACAGTTTTGCGAACCTGCGGACGTTCTGCTACTCGTAGGTAAACAAACGTTTCTGACACTCTTAAAACTGATTAAAATGCTTTGTTTCTATTTTCTGCTTTCGAAGGCAACCATGGCTTCCTTGAGGGGTCTTGAAAACTACAGTAAGTTTGTTACATGTAGAATCGTTAGTAACCTGGTGATTCCACATCATACGTAGAACGTGAGGGAACTTAGGGAAGCTCTTCATATAGGACACAAAAGAAAAGCAAACTAAACAGTTCAGTTGACTTGTAGGACACCTTTTTTTCACCAAATTTGATGCCTGCGATTTATTTTTAACTCCTTCTTCAAAATCGAAAGGAATTTGAACCTTTCTTTGGGACGCCTCCATTTAAGAAATACAAACGTTTGTCACGAGCTTATCCCAGTTTCTGTAGCGACTAGAAGTGTCACTGCCTCTTCCTAGACAGGATGCCAGACTATTACACGTTA